TCAACAAAACAGTTAGTCGCATTTCAAAAGCTCGAACTCTATAGCTCCAGCGACGATCTTCAGAAGTCTCTGTAAATATATCAATGGTGAACATGAAGAGGCAATCAGTGGAACAAACCCACAACCTTCAGTATGTATGGCTAGCCGTGTTTGCACCTAGCAACGGAGGTCATAATGAAGGAAGAGAAAGGAAGAAAATAGATGAATGTGGGGAAAAGGCAATAATAGGGAAAGACTAATGGGGACACAAACACTCACTCACAGAGAGAGAGAAGGGGGAGAGGGAGAGACTACGAGAGAGAGAGAGAGAGAGAGAGAGAGAGAGAGAGAGAGAGAGAGACGGGGAAAAGTTAAGGAAATATAGATAAGCTGGAGAATTGGAATGATGTAAATGTAATTGCAAACAGACATTGACAATTGTACAATAATATACAGTATAGTAATTCTCCTGCGTGGATTTTCATCATGGCACGGGGTGTCGCAGGTCGACCCAGCCTAAAATGATTACAAGGTTAGCTGTCCTGGGAAAGTAAAAACGGCCGGCGGAATGCTGACCATAATACCCACCCAGTGCCGATGGTCTGTAAAAATGTGGGAGCTTTTCCCATATACCCGATACGCCTGAAGGCGTGAAACGCAATCTTTACTTTTTTTTTTAAAGTAATTCTCCTAGGCAGACTTTCCGCTTGTGAGGTAGAGTTGCGCAATCAACAGACACCTGCTAGTCAACCCTAAGTTCCTGGCTTGGAGAACGCATCAAGGCAGTTTATTTTTTAGCTGCAAGGAACCTTCCTTCATATAGCAGGCCTCCAGGCGGCTGAAAAAGGATCAAATGTGGAATTTTTTTTGGACAACTGGAATTGGAATTGGAACTGATCAGGGTTCCCAGCTCGACCCAGCCTAAAAGCATGGATGCCAGGACATACACGAGGAAAATCTGCCCGTGTTATGTTGACCACAACACCTATCTGTACAATGTTGAATTAAGAATTGACATCATTGCACTCGGGACACTCCTAAAAGCGCTCTGTCCCCATCTTCAGCAGCAAGCTAGGAGTTCCAATTCTGATTGTACCAGTAACTGTCTGATTGTACATCTGTTTCGCCTTTTCCTTGAGTTCTGAGCGTTGGCCAGATCCCCTGGTAACTTCCCGCAGCGCCACTCTCCTCAGACCGTAATGATCTATTTGTACCTCGCTCCCAAATTGCCCCTATCAGTAAAAATAAGGGTCTAGCCAATAATCCTGATATGGAGCCGCTGAGGTGTAGCGGCTAGACGTCGCTGTGCGATCCCCAAGGACGTGGGTTCAGATCCTGACAAAGTCGGACAGTTTTCCAAAATGACTTCGGCTCCACAATTAATCCAGCCTTGGCTATCCTCCGAATAATGGGTTCAAAAGATGGCGGCCACTGGCGGCTAAAAAAAACAGGGCCTCAGTCACGTGTCAATTGCGCACTTCCGGCGACCTAATTTGAGATATTTAGGCGACTACCGCCACCGCCGAGGGTATCCCCCAGGCCGCTCACGCGACGTGGATTGGGGCTAAACTAGATGGCTAGGACTCACGAGCAAAGCTGCAGGAGATGCGGAAGCTGCTGCTCGTGAGTCTCAGCCATCTAGTATAGCCCCAATCCACGCATGCGTGAGCGGCGTGGGGGATACCCTCGGCGGTGGCGGTAGTCGCTGGAAAACCGCAAATTAGGTCTCTGGAAGTGCGCAAATGACACGTTACTGAGGCTCTGATTGGGTGTTTTTGCGGCTGTCATTTTTTGTGCCTGTTATTCGGAAGATAGCCCCAGCCTTAAATTAATACAAAAAAGTCATGAGAAGTAAGGGCGGCTGGTGTGATGATGACCACATCACCTACCAAGTGCCAACAGATCTATAAAATACAGGTCTAGTCCTATAGTGCTTACAATACATCTGAATACGTTGAAAAGCTTCCTTCACTTGACTAAACTCCTGATGCCACAATGGCGTGAAAATTGTCACCTTTTTATGTTTTTAAAATGAAAACAGTTAACATATTATAGCAATAACATTGTTATCATAATCATAATCATCATCATCATCACGTGCCTTTCCCAGCGGCACAGGCGCTCATGGCACAGATCTCGGTCCTTGGTATTTTGAATCAGTTCCACCGATGATATTCCACCATGCCATCGATTCAGGCCGTCAAGAATCGTTTTTTTTGGTCTATGCATCTCCTACTATTGATTTTTCTGGTCATCCTGATGTTCTTCAATGCCTCTCTTCTCATTACGTAGCAGCAGAACACTGTCCGCCCCTTTGTATTGCCGGGGCGTTGCGAGTTTGACAGGTAATTCCAACGTACTGCGATCGAAACCCACTGCTGGCTGCGTGGATTTGTATCATGGTATGTGGCGTCGCAGGTCGAACCCAGCCTGAAATGTGTACCAGGTTTGATGACCTGTGGAAGTAAAGACGGCCGGCGGACTGCTGACCACATTACCCACCCAGTGCCGTTTGTCTGTCAAAATATGGGTGCTCTTCACATATGCCGCTTACGCCTAAAAGCATGAAAAGGGATCTTTATTTTTTTTTTACTTCAAGCAGTCGTTGTTAGTCACTCGGTCTGCCCACGGTTTCTGCGTCTCAGAAACCACATGTCTACCATGGCGTCCAAGGTTCTTCGTAATTTGTTCATTCAGACTCCACGATTCACAGCCACGCCGAAACACGGTTCCATACTCTTGTTTCAGCTGTGTTATAGTTTAGCTATATCCAGAGTTGACCACACAAACGTCTCAAGGAGACGTTTACAGAAAATCAGAAACTCAAGCCTCAAAGCCCCTCCCCCCTCCCCCTTTTTCTTTTTGTTCCACTCCATCAATTCCCCACCCCACCCCACCCCCACCTCTTTTTTCCCTTCCCCATCTTTTCCTCTATTCCAGGAAAAATGTTTTTGAAAAAAAAGGAGATGGGGGGAACTTAGTCTGTACAGTACATGTGTACCCGGGTTAAGTCCCCTTGTCCTAACCATGAATTCGCTCACTATCATGTTGTGCCAATATATGTCGTATAGGGCTGCAGTCTGTGCCTCCATTCAACTCCATCCTGTGCAGTCAATTCAATATCATGGATGGAATCTAATCCAATATCATGGATGGAATCTAATCCAATATCATGAATGGAATCTATTCCAATATCATGGATGGAATCTAATCCAATATCATGAATGGAATCTATTCCAATATCATGGATGGAATCTAATCCAATACCCTGGATGGAATCTAATCCAGCATCATTGTCCTGTCTTATCAACGTCCGTTTTAGGGTTCGTTTGGGCGTCCTCGAATCCTTAATCCCCTTATTTCCCATTTCAATGCCTGTTTGTTGTTTTCTCTGCTGGTTTCTTCATAGAATGCGCCCACTATAGCGCCAACGTCTCTGTCTTCTAACTGCTGACACTATTGGTTGCCCATACATTTCTCTTCTTCGCCACAGTTAAATTAATTTCATTTTATAATCATCATTTCTCCCGGGCATTTGTTTTTGAATGAAGTTAACTTTCGTTCCATATCTTTCGTGGTTCTCCAAGTCTCACTGGCATATGTTACAACTGAGGTAACATTATAATTGAAAATACATGTATTGGTTTTAAAACTAATATACAGTAACCGCGTTATCTTTCGGGAATTTGCTTATACATTTCAGATATAGGATTATATTTATATGCCAGTCAGTATTTCACTGTTATTTTTATTGTTGTTATTATTATTATTATTATTATTATTATTATTATTATATTATTATTATTATTATTATTATTATTATTATTATTATTATTATTATTATTATTACCTATTAAACTATTTCTGCCAATGCCTCCTGAGCTCCCTCCCAATAGATAAAGTGTAATGGAGCCCTCCAAATGAACTCGCCTCCTCCTACCCTACACTTTCCCTCCCCTCCTGGCTTCCCGTTTTTTTTTTTTTCTCTGCGTCGGTGACATAAGCAGAATACCACACGAACCCATGACATCCAACGCCACCAAAAGGCAAGTGGCGGGACGGCCACAAATAAACTGATTTTCTAGCAAGCTGTATAGTTGCCGCGGGACGTTTTATTCGCCCCGTAGCCCTAAAGTGAGCTCCATAGCGCTTATATCAAGCTTTCCAGCAGCCATAGCTATTTTACACTAGTATCTACTTTTCAGCATTCATATCTACATTCCAGCTCTTATATGTAATTTTGTTCAGTACTCGTGTCTACTTCCAGCATTCAAATCTACATTAAGCTCTAAAATATAATTTCCGGCAACAATATCTTCTTTCCGGCAGCAGTATCTACTTTACAGCTTCTATATCTTCTTTCCAGCTACTATATCTACTTGCCAGCACTTATATAAATATATATATATATACTTTCTAGCCATTACAACTTCTTTCCAGCTTTCATATCTATTTTCCAGAACTTATGTATACTTTATCAATGGACAAAAACAATTGCCGGTTGCATGTTGACTGTGTCAGATATTTCTTTAGTCTGTTCTTGTGCTGTGTTTCTTTTTGAGTTGACTGAAGCTGAGTTGAGTCAAGAATTGACATCACAGCACTCAGGACGTTGTCATCTTCAGCAGCCAGCGCAGAATTCCAGTACTGATGGTACCGGCCACAATCTGGTTATATGTCAATCTTGCCTTTCCTCTGAGTGTAGTGAGCCGTCCAGATCTTCTGGTTACACCCAGGTGTATCATTCTCTCCAGGCAATAATAATCTTTTATCTCTACTGACTCCGTTGCTTGTTCCCAAAAAGCCTTGACCCCATCTGTCTTGTCATGTATCAATTCACCACCCAGTGGTGCAGATCCAGCCAATCTGTCTGCCTGTTCATTGCCTGGTTCTTGTTACAGCTTTATTTTGTGTCTGGACATCAGCTGGACTGCACACACTCTTCATTATGTACTTAACTGCCATTTAGACTGTTCGTTCACCACCTTTTACACCTGCATCTCCAGGTGTGTAGACAAGACCTACAAGACATTGTCTAGTTGGTTATTATTGCTGTACGACTCTGCTTTGTCCACCGGTAAGGAGTAGCCATTGGCCCGTGAACGTGTTAGAAAGCGCCAGCCACACTTACAGTAGAGCTCACAAAAAGTCTGCCTGAACTTCGTACTCATTGAACAATAGAGCACAAAGTTGATGGCGTTGTTCACAAGAGCACATATATCCATGACGTCGCCAAGCGGCATGTACACAGTCATAAAAAATCCCTCCATGCAGGCGCTTAAAATAATCAGGACACCCTGGGGAAGCTCCGTTACAAGGAATAAGACAATTACTGTCATAAGCATCATGGTTGTTCTCGAATGTTCGTGAAGTTTGTGGTTGTTTGACGCCGAGACTTTAAGGAAGTTCTTCCTTTTCTTGATTTTAGATTTCATTTGGAAAAGCAGAAGCGCGCCGAAGACGGAGATCAGAAAGCAGGGGATGAGTTTGGCTAAAACAGCATACATCCAGACGTTGGCTAGAACAAGGGGATTTGTGTCGCTGCTGCCCAGTTTCAGGTTCTCTAGGACGTACATCGTCTGGTTTGTCTGTCCATTGTTGCTGTTCCAGGGCTGCGGTTTAAGTTCGTTGGTCAGATAGTTAGGGATCATGACAAGAATGGATATGATATAGGTTCCCAGAACAAGATACCTCGCATGGGTAATTCTTTTCTGGCGAACTGAACTGACACGAGTCGGTGAGCGTATGTGAAGATACCGGACGATGGCCAAGACTACGCATAACCAGATGCTGATGGTGTGGGTCACTGTGGTAAGGTTGATGTGAAACACGAAGAAGGTCATCCACCATTTAGAGTTCTTCCTTGGCGAGGCGTAGTTACTGGGATAGACGCAGTAGAAGTGTATGGCGAAGGGAAGATAACTCAACATGGTGATGATGTCCGACACAGCCAGACCAGTCAATATCTGGTTGACCGGTGTTCGCATGTGGCGACGGGTAAGTACCGTGACGTTGAAGGTGTTGGTGACGATGCCGCTGACGCAGACGCACAGGGAGACGAAGCCGTGGTAGTCGGCATACCAGTTGGAGAAGGTGTGAAGGTTTGTGCTGGTGGAGGAGTCGTTGGACATGGTCAGATGGCCCGCAGACGAACATTGCACGCTGTTCTCCAGGTACCTGTGAGAGGGGGGGGGGCGAGAGAGAGATAAATATATATATTTAACAGAAGGTTTCTTTTTCTTCTACTACTACTACTACTACTACTACTACTACTACTACTACTACTACTACTACTACTACTACTACTACTACTACTACTACTACTACTACTACTACTACTACGACTACGACTACTACTACTACTACTACTACTACTACTACTACTACTACTACTACTACTACTACTACTACTACTACTACTACTACTATTATTACTACTACTACTACTACTACTAATACTATTACTACTATTACTACTATTACTACTACTACTACTACTACTACTGCTGCTGCTGCTACTACTACTGCTGCTGCTGCTGCTGCTGCTGCTACTACTACTACTGCTACTACTACTACTACTACTACTACTACTAATACTACTCATCATCACGTGCCCTGCCGACTGGTGTAGGCGTTCATGCATCTCCACAGATCTCTGTCCCTTGTTCTCTGGATCAGTTCCACCGATAATATCTCTCCATGCCACCATCGCAGTCCATCCATCATCATCTCTCTTGGTCTACCTCTCACTCTTCTACCGCTGATCTTCCCAGTCGTTACAACATTCTCCATAGCCTCCCCCCCCCCCTCATCACATGACCAAACAACAGTGCTTGTCTTTTCCTTATAGCTGTATGTAATGGTCTGCTTTCATTAGCCTTCTTCAAGCAATCCTTGTGAGTTGCTCTGGCCGTCCAAGGCATTCTTAACACACGTCTGAGAAACCACATTTCCGTCGCCTCCAAGGTCTTTCTAATTTGTGCAATTATATTCCACGATTTACTACCATACATCAATATAGGTTCTACATAACATTTTAGTACTCTTCTTCCAACATTCAACTACTACTGCTAATACTACTACTACTACCACCACCACCACCACCACCACCACTACTACTACTACTACTACTACTACTACTACTACTACTACTACTACTACTACTACTACTACTACTACTACTACTACTACTACTACTACTACTACTACTACTACTACTACTACTACTGTCACCACTATCAGTGGCACCCGCGCCACTACAATTAATACGACAAGCATTCTCGTATTATTATCCTTCTCAATTTCCCTGCTAATTTTGTTTTTCAACTTGTAGTTCTGCTTCCTTTGCCTATCATTTTTTTTTCATCTCACCACGGACCGCGCATATACACACTAGATTACTTCTGATTGGTCGACCTTCAGTCACCCGACCTTCGCACACTGCTAGGGGGATGTTCGGCAATGCGGTTGATATCGCGTGGTGTATATTTAAGCACGCCAGCGGTTTTAACACTGCAAAAACATTTAGAAACTGGGTCTAGCACACAACTCCCTAGAGAGTGCTGCAACCAATGTCACAGGCATTCTCTTTCTAGGAAGAAAACGTAAAGGAAGACAAGCCGGAAAGGAAACAACATAACGGCAACTCGTAACCCCCCAGACAGCAGATCAGTCTAAAAGTTGTATGAATGGAACGTGATCTAGTTTCTTTGAGGAGATTATCGTGAATCTCACCTATTTTGTTTTCCCACATTGCTTCGTCGCTTGAAGCAACAACAGAAGACGATAATTATGATAAATATGGGGGAGGGGGTGGTAGTGGTAAGGAGAAAGAGGAAGATGTGAAAAAAGGGAGGGGAGGTTTGAGATAAATTGGAAGGGAAAAAAAGGGGGTGGGGGGGTTGGGTGTCTGGGAAAACTAGGCTGGCCAAACTGTCACTTTCGCAGTGTATTATAATAGCTTCTGTAAAACTATTGTCTTCATTGCCGTTCATATGACTTTTCTCCCTTTCTCGACCCAAGCACCCGAAACAAAAGCACCGACCACAGGTATAACCAAAGCTGTACTAAGAAGGTTAGAACTTTGGAACTTTGACATAATCCCCCCCCCCCCCCCAACAAAATCAAATTAAAACACACCTTCGGAATACTCTGGAAATTGTCAGTGTAGAAAGGCAACAAGAAATAACTGGACACCCTACTCCCAAATGTCATGACCTAAAATATGTGATACTCAACATTTGATACCCCAATAGCAATATCTGCTATAAGACAATATATCAACTCCCAATAGGCTAAAGTGAAACATTTTATGTGTGGAGAAATCCATCATGGTGCTCAGGGGACTCGTACACCGGGTTATGCGGTGATCGTATCCAGTGAGTTATTATTGTTACGAATTTTTTATTCAGGTTATGCAGTTTTTATTTTTTGGAACAATTCTGCCAACTTTTTGGTCTTTTTATTTCAGTTCACCCCATCTTGAGGTCTGCGAGATTTTGTGGGGAGTGGCCCGGAAAGTACAATAGTTTAGGGGCGTTAGGGTGCGAAATTAACACCAACTAACACTAACCCTAATTGCCCCCGCCACCTTTAATTCACAGGGGGCTGCGTGGTTTCGAGGCATAGTGTTCGCCTCTAGTGCTAGAGGTTCCGGGTTCAATCCCTGGTAAGGGCTGGGATTTTTTCACGTGGACTCGGACTTCTAGTAATTTCCCTCTGTCTCTGGGTAGTGAGATCGGACGCCCGTGTGCATTGTTGCGCACGTAAAACAAAAACCACCTGGCAGTTGGAAATCGAAAAGAGTAGCCTAACGGCGCTGCCCGGGCAATAAAAATATGGCCTAAAGTATGTCTGGATCCTCGCCGGTGCTATAGAGCCTGTGCACTGTGCTGAGCTTCTTCGGACTCAGACTTGAGTTAGAAGAAAAATTGAACACGTATGGGTTACACATGTGTGCCATGATGTTGATCCTTAGTTCAAAACCTCAAACCTTTAATTCATAGGATATGCCCGAATACCCATTGTAGGCTGGTGGATCAACCTTGAAGTCCTAGGTCATAAATTAAATTTTTTTTTTTAAATCTGACCATTGTGGATTTAAACCAAAGACTTTAGAATCGTCAATATGAGAATCAAGTCATGATGCTACAGCAGCTCTTTTCTGTTAAGTGACCTGCTGTGAATAATCTTGCCAAAGATGATGACTGCATATATTTGTGCATCCTTGAAACTTTTCTTAACATTAAATTAATCTCTCTCTCTCTCTCTCTCTCTCTCTCTCTCTCTCTCTCTCTCTCTCTCTCTCTCTCTCTCTTTCTCTCTCTCTCTCTCTCTCTCTCTCTCTCTCTCTCTCTCTCTCTCTCTCTCTTCTCTCTCTCTCTCTCTCTCTCTCTCTTTCTCTCTCTCTCTCTCTCTCTCTCTTTCTCTCTGTCTCTCTCTCTCTCTCTCTCTCTCTCTCTCTCTCTCTCTCTCTCTCTCTCTCTCTCTCTCTCTCTCTCTCTCTCTCTCTCTCTCTCTCTTTTTTTATTTTTAAACAACAAATACAACAAACAAACAAACAAAAAACGATTAAAATTTTTAAAGGAACAAAACCTTCCAATGAACTTGCAGCCAAAAATAAATTTTTTTTGCAATGTAAATAAGGGAACACTCACTGTTCTATGTGAACCAAAACAAAATTATCAGTGATTGCAATGGGACTGTAAAACGAATCACTATAATGGTTCCAAATTGCTGTCAAAGCAAGGGTATCGGTGGCGGATGAGCTGTCAGCTCTCACCAAATATCTCTAAAGTATGTGAATATCATACACTTATTCATCAAGCAGAAGACAGAGACAGATGGCAGGTTATATGTGCTAGTGCTTCCATCAATATGCCTTCACGACCCTAACGGGGTCAAAGGTTATGTTATGTTATGGTATGTTATGTTAAGGTATGGGCATTTGTCGCCCCTGATAGCCTTGTCGTGGCGGAGCTGTTTAAACCAAAAAGAAAAAGGCCGAAGGAGTGTGCCTGACGCAGTAAAACCAGACTGCTCGTCGAGTATGATCATGGTATATCATAGCAAAACTTACTGCTAATACTAGCGGCAATCAGCCAGGAGGCACACCGCAGCAACCAGGACACTATGCATACACGCCATGGAAATATGTCTAAATCAGCAAAACAGTGTGGTGCCAGCCTTGTGAAGGACTCTCACGAAGCAGGAGCCATGCCGGAACCTCTGCCTCGAAGAGACCCAACCTAATTTACTGGAGGTCATTCTCAAATGTTCTGTGGAGACAGGGTACATGAGTATAGAGCGCCTGGCCAAAACAGGAACAGGCTCAAACTAATGCAATGGAATGCGGAGGAAGTTATGCAAACAAACCAGTGTCAAAACACATTTTAATTAAGAAACAGATACATATACACTGTTTTCAAGAAACCCACCTCAATAAAGACAGTTTTTAAAAACAGATGATATGATAAAACTGAAAAGGTGGATGGGGGAGGGGATGGTTGGGGGAGCGGGGGACCATCGAATACTGACCCTAATAAGGAACAGCATCACTGCGTGCTAAACTGAACAGTAAGAAGAGACTCCACATGGGAGCATGTACAGCAGGGGTCTACCAATCATCAGTAGAAGTTAACCTCTCGTCAACAAATGTTTCGGCCCACGAGCTCCTAGACATTCTCAGAGAGTGGGCCCACCTGAGTTCATAAAGCTCAGGGTTGGTTTCCCCTGCTGCACGAAATTACCGGATGTTGTTCGGATAGAAGCAGCAGAATATCATATTTTCAACCTGCTCACAGCAAATACAGATTTGCACCTTATCTACTTTTACTGCCTGAGTTAAGTCCCCAGTCGCTGAACACAATCTCAGTAGAAGAAATGATGATTTTATATTGATTTTAACAGCCACTCACAAAGCTGGGGGTACGAGCATGCAGACCAGAGGAGAAAAACTAGAGGAAAGATGAATGTAAAAATGCAGAGAAACTAGCACTCTGACTATGTGGAACTACATGAAGGCACACTGAAAAATGTTTAAGCAACGTAAGAGCATACTGGTTTCAAAGAATTAACAAATACACACTACAGACAGCAAGAGAATCAATACCTAGAGTTTCTGTAAGCATTA